CCCAGCAGGCGGGAGGGTACTTGTAGAGTGAGTGAGAAGCAGTAGCGGTCAGCCCCTGTGCAAAGTTCTCTAACCTGAGCATCCGGCATGGCCGTCAGCATGGCTCCGGGAAGTAAACTGAGGCCAAGAGCAGTCCCTTGGCTGAGCCGAGATGGTCTAGATTGGGGTGTCCAATCTTTTGGCTTCCCTGGGCCACACTGGAAGAATTGTCGTCTTGGGCCACACATAAAATCCACTGATAGCTGATGAGCTTAACAAAAAAATCTCATCTCATCATGTTTTGAGAAAGTTTATGAATTTGTGTTGGGCCGCATGTTGGGCAAGCTTGGTCTAGATCATTAGACCAAGACTCAGTCATCAGGATGAGATGGAACTGGAGCCAAGGCTGTGTGGATGGGAGAAGGGAGCCGAGTCTAGAGCTGGGTGGGACACGTGGGGCTGGGGAGGGAGGAGGGCTAGGATGAATTGCTTCCCAGGATGGCTCCTGAGGGCTGGGAGCGCTGGAGCCAGGACAGGGAGTTCCTGAGGAGGTCCTGGTTTGTGGTGCCTGTGGATATCAGACGAGGAGGCTGAGAGACTGGGTCAGGCTAGAAAGACGTGGGGGTCTTCACCTTAGAGGGAGGGCAGGCGCTGGGAGAGGTCATTGGGCTGCCAGCACTAGGGGCTGAGCAGACCTGCCTGGGGAGGCCGCAGAGAGCACCTCCCTTCCTTGAGGAGGGATACGCAGGATGTGCTCACTGGGTTTGCCGCTGGTCAAGGCTTCCGGCAGCTGCCTCTGAGGATTAGCCAAGAGGGAAGGAGAGGGTGTGGGTGTGGGTGCTTTTGCACCATGGTGGGCGAGGGGGCCTGGGCAGGGGTGGGAAGGAACAGAGGTGCCGGGGACTCAGGGAAGGGTTTTCATTCTTTCGCAGATTTGCCATTTATTCAGTAGCAGTTGAGTGTCTGTGGGAGTGTAGGGTCTGGAGGTAAAATGGTGACAAGGTGGGCAACTTGGGTGGCCTGTGGATGGAAGGGAGGAACCAGAAGAGCAGGTGCCTGGCAGCTTGGGGAACTGACCTGAGTGGCATGTGTGGGCCCCACCCAGGGGCCTCGGCTGCTGAAGGTGGCCGCAGAGTGGTCTCCTGGGAGAAGCGGGCCGGAGATTTGACAGGAATGGTGAAGGTGAGGACAGTGGCTCTCCGGAGTGCTGGGGGAGTTGAACCGGGAAGAACATGGGGGTTCCAAGGGCTGGTGACGACGACACATCACAGTGTCTGACAGCAGTCTATGCCGGTACATACCGTCGTTCTATGCCAGCAGGCACCGTCGTTCTATGCTGGCAGCGTCGTTCTGTGCCAGCAGGCACCGTCGTTCTATGCTGGCAGCGTCGTTCTGTGCCGGCAGGCACCGTTGTTCTATGCTGGCACCGTCGTTCTATGCCGGCAGGCACCGTCGTTCTATGCTGGTCTTCTGTGCCGTGCAGGCACCGTTGTTCTATGCTGGCACTGCTGCTCTATGCCGGCAGGCACCGGGCTGCTCTATGCTGGCAGCGCTGCCTGTGCTTCTGCAGGCAGCGCCTTCCTGATCTGCAGCTCAGATGTGGCAGCTGATCAGCTTGATCCAGGCCGCGGGTTCGCAGTATGACTGAGGTGGGCCCCGGCAGAGTGCAGAGGGGCTGTTGAAGAAGTGGCTGATGGCCCACCTGGCATCTCTCTGCCTTCAGCCAGTGTGCACAGATCATCTGCTTCCTGCCTAGCAGTGCGTTCAGGTGCTGGGGTCTGACGGTGGCCAGGTTCCTGCCCTGGAGCAGAAATAATCACCTAGCCAGGCAGGGGCGGTGGGAGAGCCGGAGCCGCGTGGGAGGGAGGGTGAGTAGGTGAGTTTTCCCAGGGAGCTGATGCCCTGTAGGAGAGACCGAGCCGCCGGTGGGAAGAGCAGACCCGACTGTTCCAGGCAGGGGGAACTGCAGGCTCTGCCAGGGCCAGTGTGGTCAGGGGACAGAAGGAGGTCCACGTAGCCAGCTGGCAGGCAGAGGAGATGGTGCAGTGTGAGGGCTGAGCGGGAGCAGAGCAGAGTGGGTTCACCCCAGGAGCTGAGGAAGCCGCTGAAGCTGGGAGTGTGCCATCTGATGGATGCCACTTCATGGCAGGTGGCGAGAGGGCGTGTCAGGGGATGTTGGTGGGGGACAACTGGCATAGCAACTTCATGGGGGGGGTAGGGGAGTGTCAGGGGCAGAGAGGCAGCTGATGGGTGGAGGAGGCAGCCAGTGTGGCATGGTGAGGAAGGGCCATGGAAGAGGACAGAACCTGCCCACAGAGTGAGTGCTGAGGAAGGAAAAATGGAGGATGAGGCCAGTCAGGTTTTTCGTGGCGGCAGTGCCTTATGTTTTTATCAAAGTGTAATATCCACACAGAAAAGCACATCTCCCAGGGTCCTGAGAGAGCTTGAACCAGACCACTGTGGACATGGTGGCCACCCATCCCCACTGCCCTTCCCGAGGGGAGATGAGGAGCAGGCAGGCTTGAGGGAAGAGCTGCATGGGACTCAGGTCTTGAAATGTCTAAGACGCATGTCAGAAATGCAGGTGGGTGGGAGTGTGAGCGCTCGCACCTGTATTCCCAGCACTCTGGGAGGCTAAGACAGGAGGATCACTTGAGCCCAGCAGTTCAAGACCGGCCTGGACAATATAACGAGAGGCCTCATCTCTATAAAAACATTAAAAATTAGCTGTGCACCAGGTGCAGTGGCTCACGCCTGTAATCCCAGCACTTTGGGAGGCCGAGGCAGGTGGATCACTTGAGGTCGGGAGTTTGAGACCAGCCTGACCAACATGGAGAAACCCCATCTCTACTAAAAATACAAAATTAGCCAGGCATGGTGGTGCATGCCTGTAATCCCAGCTACTAGGGAGTCTGAGGCAGGAGAATCGCTTGAACCTGGGAGGCAGAGGTTGCAGTGAGCCGAGATTGCACCATTGCACTCCAGCCTAGACAACAAGAGGAAAACTCTGTCTCAAAAGGAAAAAAAAAAAAAAAAAGATTAGCTGTGCATAGTGGCACATGCCTGTAGTCCCAGCTACTTGGGAGGCTGAGGTGGGAGGATCGCTTGAGCCTCAGAGGTTGAGGCTGCAGTGAGCATGATCACGCCACTGCAATCGAGCCTGGGCGACAGAGCGAGGCCCTGTCTCAAAAAAAAAAAAAAAAAAGAAAGAAGAAAGAAGTGTAGTAGGATTCGCATAGGAGGTAAGACGGAGTAATTCAGAGCTCAGCAGAGACTTCTTGGGCCTGGCCGGGGTTTTGAAGCTTTTGGGCTAGAAAAGGAACAGGGAGGGGCAGGGCCTGGGCGTGGTCAGAGGAGGATGTCCAGCACTGGGAACTTCAGCCTTGCTGCCAGGAAGGCCCCGGTGACCAGCCCTGTGACCACCTCGGGGGGTCCTGAGAGGCCTGCTCCTTAAAGGGAGCATGGAGTCTTCCCTGCCGGCCCGGAGGAACTGCTGGCGGCCCCCCTCTGCTGTTAGGAGGCTCACTCTGAGCAGCAGGCCCCACATATGTGCCTTGTTCACTCCTTGAACCTGAGCCTGGGGCTAAAACCTAAGACTGTCTGAAAGTTCCATGTGGAACTGTCACCCTGTTTTTGCATCTTCTCAGCCAAGCAGCCTGCAGCGTGGAGAAGGAGGTGCCTCTGGTGGGGGTGTCTGTCGCTGGCTGCCATGCACCAGGGCCTCATGGTCCACATATTTGGGGCCCAGAATTGCACACAGCCACTGGAGTCCCTAAGCCCTTCCCAGGCGCCCCGGCGGGGAGGACAGCGCCTGCCCATAAAGGCACACGTTTGCTGCTTTGTTACTTTCTCAAGGAGGACCCAGCCAGGGAAGCTTCTCAGGCCAGGATTCACTGGGTTATAGTTGGAGGGCCGAGATATGGAACCGGAGCACCGGGAGCCATCTCCCCACGCCCCATTGTGGTACTTGGCGGCTGTCCAGAGACAGGCAGCTCTCACCAAGGCGGCGCAGATGCGGGCCTGGCGCCCTGTGGCTACACTGAGCCATCATGCTGTATGCCCAGGAAGTGGGGTTGGCAGCAGCGGTGAAGGGCTGCAGTTCCTGGCTGCCACCAGCATCGTGACCCCAGGACTCTGCCACAGAGCCACGCCTGGGGTGGCGGGTGACCTGGGAGAGGCCTGCGGCCTGGCTTGGCTGCACATTGAGCCCAGCAGTTCTTTGGAGCCAAGGCACAGACACGCTGGCCTCCAGGCAGCCCAAGCCGCTCAGACTCTGGTCCCTGCAGTCATTTGCATTAATATAAAGGCACCAGCGGACAGACACTGCCTAAAACAACAACAGATACAAAAAAGAAGGAGGGTTTTTATTTGGTCTGGATCTGTTTTGTATTCAAATGCTTCAGGAGCCTAACCCAGAGGAAGTGGAGACTCCTTCACTTTGCTGCACATCTGTCTGCTCCAGGTCAGGGACTGTTCTAGGAACCAGGATACAGAGGTGGAGACAGAAACAAACAGACCAATAACTGTATACAATACTCTGACGTCAGGTGGGGACAAGGGCCAAGGACCCAGGGACGGAGGGTGATGTCGGGTGATGTCGGCGGCAGGGCAGTCAGGGAGGGCTTCTTGGATGAGGTGGCATTTGAGTAAAATACAGACCTGTATGTACCGTGTCTGTGATCCTATCCCACCTCAACCCGTCAACCTTCCCCTCCTACCTGACTCCCCTGCGCTTCTCTCTAGAGGGACCACAGAGCACCAACCTGCATGGAACTTCCTTCTCTCTCTCAGCTTCCCACCTTGCCACCTGGGACAGGGGAGATGGGATAATTTTGCTCTGGAAAGACTTCACGTCTTGCTGAATGAAAGCAAGCAAAGATAAGGGAGTAAGAATGGCCACAAAGTAGGGCAATACTGTTTCTTCCGGAAAAGTCAGCCTCCCGCACCTGCAGCTTCAGGAACTGAGACGTGACTGTGCTTGCAGGGGCGCTGACTTCTCTCCTCCCTCCCTGGCTGTGCAGGTCCCACCTGACTGTCACGCTGATGCCCGTGCAGCCGTCTGAGCACTCAGAATGGAATGAGTCTATGCACTCCCTCCGGATAAGTGTGGGGGGCCTTCCTGTGCTGGCGTCCATGACCAAGGCCGCGGACCCCCGCTTCCGCCCCCGCTGGAGGGTGATCCTGCCGTCCTTTGTGAGTGCCGCCATCCTCTGGCTGCTCTGCTCTCACCGCCCGGCCCCCGGCAGGCCCCCCAACCACAATGCACACAACTGGAGGCTCAGCCAGGTGCCCGCCAGCTGGTACAATGACACCTACCCCCTGTCTCCCCCGCAAAGGACACCAGCTGGGATTCGGTACCGAATCGCAGTTATCGCAGACCTGGACACAGAGTCAAGGGCCCAGGAGGAAAACACCTGGTTCAGTTACCTGAAAAAGGGCTACCTGACCCTGTCAGACAGTGGGGACAAGGTGGCCGTGGAGTGGGACAAAGACCATGGGGTCCTGGAGTCCCACCTGGCGGAGAAGGGGAGAGGCATGGAGCTCTCCGACCTGATTGTCTTCAATGGGAAACTCTACTCCGTGGATGACCGGACGGGAGTTGTCTACCAGATCGAAGGCAGCAAAGCCGTGCCCTGGGTGATTCTGTCCGACGGCGACGGCACCGTGGAGAAAGGTAACTGGACCCTGAGGTTTCTATGGAGGTGTGGGTGGGGAGTGGGGCTCAGGGCCTGGCTGGCAAACACAGGCACACAGTAAAGAATTCACACACCCAGAAGCCAGCGACGTGGCGAGGAACCACTTCTCCCTCTTGCTCTGACCTGCGGCCCCCTTACCATGAGCCAGGGGCGTAGCCTACTGTCACTTCACACTGAGCGGTTTCTAGGAGTAAGAGCTGATTGCTAGCGGCCTGCTGGAGACGTGGGGAATCTTTCCAGGATGTTTTAGGCTGTATCCGCTGCTGCTCTGAGAGCCTCTGAGAACACAGCCCTTTTTACACCTTCAGAGGTTCTCAAGATCACACTGGGATGTACCCACCAGGAGCCTTACCTTGAAAGCCATGGGGTCAGATGGTTCTCACTCAAAACCCAGACTTTGGTTTCATGTTACTGAAGGGTAACCTGCTGCCCAGCCCTCCTCTCCCTGAACCCCAGCAGGGGCAGGGCACGTGTGAGCTGCAGCAACCCTCCTGGAGTGGAGCCTGCTGCCAGCCTTTTTGTTCACCAGAAAGGAGGTGCTGCTTCCACAGGGCAGGGACAGGCTTTGGGTAGGCACGGTGGCCAGTGTCTTCCTCCAGGGAGGAGCTGGGGAGGCGCCAAGGACGCTGGCAGAGGAGCTGCCAGCTTCTCTGAGCTCCGTTTGTCTGAGCTGGCAGTGGATCCCCACCTTCTAGAAAGCTGAATGCCACCGCAGGCTTTCTGAGGTCAAGGAGGAACTGCACTAAACAACGGCCTACGCAGTTCATGGCCGGCCAGGCCCTCGCCACACCCGGTGAGAAAATCTTCAGTGTTTGCCCAGGGCTGGGCAGGGGACCGACCTCACCTGAGGTATCAAAGTGTTGGTCGCCTACTTCCTGCCTTGCACTTGTCAGGGTTTTAGGCAACCCTACTGTAGTCCTTTCCTTCCCTTGGATAGGGAGGAGAGCGGGGTAAAGGGAGCGTTGGGGTTGGGCTGCGCTCAGGTCATCCGGGAGGGACGAAAGACCCGGGGTGGAGAATGTCTCATCGCACAAGGGGCCCAGGAGATGGCAGGTCCCTCCAGGGCCCTGCAGAGAAGCCGCTGTGGTCTCAGGCAGTTCAGGGGGCACAGCTCCAGCTCTCAGGGGCAAGAAGCTAGCAAAATTTGGGGAAAACAAACAGAAGTTAGAACACCAGGGTGTAGGGATGATAAGAATACACTGGAAGAACACAGGCTCCCACAGAGCCTGAACTGTGGCAGCCTTCAAAGTTAGGCTTATTTTAAATAAATCAGTTTAAAAGCAAAAACAGCTTCTGAACAAATCCACTGGAAGGAAGACTGGGAGCCCCAGCACCACGCCCCTCTCCGGCCACTGGCGTTAGAGTGATGCTCCGTGAGAGCTCAGGTGTGGCCGAGGGCAGCACACGCACACCCCCGGAACACGCGCGCCCCTTCAGAGTGCTGTCACTTTTCAGCTTTTCTACCCTGTAAGGATAATCCTGAGGTTGGGGATTACAGCTTGAGGAGCGGGGAGTTGGGGATCAGAGGTGACTTGAGAGTAGTCACTGAACCTTCAGGAGCTGTGGGGAGGGCAGCCGACCGGCCCTGGGCAGGAGCCAGGTGCAGGGCCTAAGGACGCTGCTCTGCTTGACCAGGCTTCAAGGCCGAGTGGCTGGCAGTGAAGGACGAGCATCTGTATGTGGGCGGCCTGGGCAAGGAGTGGACGACCACCACGGGCGACGTGGTGAATGAGAACCCGGAGTGGGTGAAGGTGGTGGGCTACAAGGGCAGCGTGGACCACGAGAACTGGGTGTCCAACTACAATGCTCTGCGGGCCGCCGCTGGCATCCGGCCGCCAGGTGAGAGACGCCTGCCCCAGCCCACAGTGTGGCTTCCACAGCCCGCTCACTGGGAACCTGCTTCCTCCTGCATTTGCCTCCAAGACGCTTTTTTATTTTAGACAAAGTCTTGCTCTGTCACCCAGGCTGGAGTGGAGTGGCGCGATCTCGGCTCGCTGCAACCTCCACCTCCTGGGTTCAAATGATTCTTCTGCCTCAGCCTCCACAGTAGCTGGGACTACTGGTGTGCACCACCATGCCCAGCTAATTTTTGTCTTTTTAGTGGAGACAGGGTTTCACCATGTTGCCCAGGGTGGTCTCGAACTCCTGACTTCAGGTAATCCGGTGATCCACCTGCCTCGGCCTCCCAAAGTGCTGGGATTACGGGCGCGAGCCACCGCACCCAGCCTCCAAGGCCCGTTTCTTGCTTGATTTTAGTGATTTTGGTTGCCTCTGATGGTGGCTCCCCTCAGGCCAGTGGATTCTGGTGGCAAACGAGCCGTTTTCTCTTTCCTGTCCCACTCACCCCGGCAGCTGGCCTCCCCGCATCCCCGCCTGTGGCCCCGGTGTCTGCACTGCTGGATCAGGCCCTGTCCCCACCCCTGGTGCTGGGCCATGGTGCCTCACACCAACATAGGGCCAGCAGCACTTTGGCCTCCCCTTAGTCAGGATGGAGTAGGCCTTAGGTACCTGAGGTTCAGGAGGAAGTGACTGAGTCTGTGCCTTGGGCCCCAGACGCTGTCTCCTCTTCCTTGCAGCCTCAAGGCAGCCTCCCCACCCGATCCCTCCCCACTTCCAATGGGGGTTTGTTCCCTTTCCTTGGGCTCCTCTGGATCAGCCCCGAGGAGGCGCTGATGAGCTGGAATCCCTGAGATTCCTGATGCAGCTCGCAGGCAGCTCTTGGGGGAACGGGAGGAGGCTTCAGGGGAGGGGGTGCGGCAGGTTCCCTGCGTGGGATAACCGAGAACACAAAACCCTCCAGAAGCCTGCAGAGCAGGGAGGGGTGGGTTGCTGTGGGCTGCTGAGCCCTGGTGGTCGCAGCCCCATGCCTGCTGCTGCGCACGGCCTGATGGCGTGGGGCTGGGCACGCCAGGCTGCATGCGTGTCTGACCCACAGTCACCCGGTTCCCAGGCTACCTCATCCATGAGTCTGCCTGCTGGAGTGACACGCTGCAGCGCTGGTTCTTCCTGCCGCGCCGTGCCAGCCAGGAACGCTACAGCGAGAAGGACGACGAGCGTAAGGGCGCCAACCTGCTGCTGAGCTCCTCCCCCGACTTCGGCGACATCGCTGTGAGCCATGTGGGGGCAGTGGTCCCCACTCACGGCTTTTCGTCCTTCAAGTTCATCCCCAACACTGATGACCAGATCATTGTGGCCCTGAAGTCCGAGGAGGACAGCGGCAGAGTGGCCACCTACATCATGGCCTTCACGCTGGACGGGCGCTTCCTCCTGCCGGAGACCAAGATCGGAAGCGTGAAATACGAAGGCATCGAGTTCATTTAACTCAAAACGGAGACGCTGAGCAAGGCCATCAGGACTCAGCTTTTATAAGAAACAGCTTTGTTTTGTTTTGTTCTTTTTGGAACTGTGCCTGGGTTGGAGGCCTGGACAGGGAGCCCGGTCCCAGGCTGGGCAGGGGTGTGGGCACTGGACCCCCAGGCCCCACGGAGGCCGCGGTCTGAACAGCTCTCCATGCTGCGGTCTGATGGTGAGATCGGTCACTTCAGGCATTGACTCAAGGCCTGCGGAACTGGCCGGGCCCTTTCTTCCATCTGACCTCCTTTCTTCTCTTTCCTATGTTCTTTTGTTCAGTAAATATCCCTGGAGCTCCTACCATATGTCAGGCACTATGCCTCACCCTGAGAACGCAGTGAGCATGAGGTGGACCTGTTTGCTGGGAACCCCAGGTCACCCCCTTTTCTTCCTACTCTGAGCCTGGAGTATCATGTCCACCCCTGCAGATCCTTGGAAAAGAAAATGTTTATGTTGTAGGGTATTGCATGGCCACGAGCGAGGGCAGGCCCCTGGGGACACATCTGCCCACAGCTGCACAGGCCAGGGTGCAGGCCCGTCTGTTGGTTCTCAGGCCTCAGATGAAACCATCTCCGCATCATATGGCCAGTGACCACTTTCTCCCTTCAGGAAAATTCTGCGGCTGTGCAGCATTTTGAAGTTTTAATTATTAACCTGCTTTCATTAAAGCAGTTTCCTTTCTTGTAAAATGGAATCACCAAATCTGATCACACAGAGCAAAGTCTTGTAGTTACCCAGCCTGCTGCAGCAGTGGGGGAGATTGTAAGGAAGCAATGGCAGGCAGTGGGAGATTGTAAGGAAGCAGCTACGGTTTCATCTTGAATTCCCACGTGTTGTGGGAGGGACCCAGTGGGAGGTAATTGAATCATGGGGCAGGTCTTTCCTGAAGTACTTCGTGATAGTGAGTAAGTCTCACAAGATCTGTTGGTTGTAAAAGGGGAGTTTCCTTGCATGAGATCGCCTTCTTTCTCTCGTCTGCCACTGTGTGAGATGTAGTTTTCACCTTCTGCCATGATCACTAGAGCCTCCTGTTACGTGATCTGTAAGTTCATAAACATCTTTCTTTGTAAATTGCCCATTGTTGGGTATGTCTTTATCACTAGCTGAAACAACTAATACAAGTGAGTTACAATTTTTGGTTTCTGGGCCTATAAAATTATGTTATTGGGCACTTGGCTTCATGCCTGTAATCCCAGCACTTTGAGAAGCTGAGGCAGGAGGACCAAGTGAGCCCAGGAGTTCAAGACCAGTCTGGACAACATAGTGAGACCCTGTCTCTACAAAAAAAAAAAAAAAAAAAAGCCAGGCGGGCAGAGTGCTGCCTGGTCCCAGCTGTCGGGAGGCTGGAGCAGGAGTACTGCTTGAGTCTGGGAGTCGGAGGTTGAAGTGAGCTGTGTTGGCACCGCTGCACCGCAGAGCCTACACAACAGAGTGAGACTCCCATCTCTAAAATTAAAAAAAAAAAAATTAATTGTAAAGCAAGTGGCGGTTATATGGCAGTTTATTAAGTGTGCAATACTAATATGTTCCTAAGCAAACAAGGTACACACATTAACTTAAAAATACATTGGTGGCTGGGCGCGGTGGCCTACGCCTGTAATCCCAGCACTTTGGGAGGCCGAGGTGGGTGGATCGCCTGAGGTCAGGAGTTCGAGACCAGCCTGGTCAACATGGTGAAACCCTGTCTCTACTAAAAATACAAATTAGCCGGGCATAGTGGGCAGACACCTGTAATAGAAGGCTAGATGGTAGAGAATCACTTGAACCCTGGAGGCAGAGGTTGCAGTGAGCCAAGACCATGCCACTGCATTCCAGCCTGGGCAACAAGACAAACTCCATCTCAAAAAAAAAAAAAAAAGTGTGTATATACACACACACACACACACACACACACACACACAAAATTGCTAGTGATTAAGCCTTCAGCAAGTCAGCTGCCATTTTGCTTGGGTGGAGGATCTGGCCCCCAATGTTGTGGGCTGCTGGCTGACTGTCCAGGGTGGTGGTTACTGAAGATTAGGTGGCTGTGGGTAATTTTCTTTTTTTTGAAATGGAGTTTCACTCTGTTGCCAGGTTGAGCAGTGGCATGATCTCTTTGCTCACTGCACCCTGCTTCCAGGATTCAAACGATTCTCCTGCCTCAGTTTTCCTGGAGCAGCTGCACCAGGCATGTGCCACCACACCAGCCAATTTTTTGCATTTTTAGTAGAGACGGGTTTCACCATGTTGGCCAGGATGGTCTCGATCTCTTGACTCCTTGATCCACCGACGGAGCCTACATGGATTACAGGCATGAGGTACCGCACCCTGCTGCCGTGGCACTTTTAAATATGACACATGAGGGCTGAGCACCATGGCTCAAGCCTGTAATCCCAGCACTTTGGGAGGTCGGGGCAGGAGGATTACTTGAGCCCAGGAGTTCAAGACTACCCTGGGCAACCTGGCAAACCCCGCCACTACAAAAAAAAAAAAAAAAAAATTAGTCATGCTGAAACAGGCCTGTAGTCCCAGCTAATGGGGAGGCTGAGGAGGATCACCTGAGCTTGGGAGGTCGAGGTTGCAGTGATGATTGTGCTACTGCACAACCTGGGCAACAGAGTGAGATTCTATCTCGAAAAAAAAAAAAAAAGACAGTGAAATTTGCTGCCAGCGAGGGACTCTTCCATCCAGGAAAGATTTCTCCACAGCATGCACACACTTGATATATTTACCCACAGAAGAACCTCTTTCAAAATTATAATCAGGCCAGGCATGGTGGCTCAGCCTGTAATCCCAGCTCTTTGGGATCCAAAGATCACTTTGCGCCGGAAATTGAGCCCAGCCTGGGCAACATGGTGAAACCCTACCTCTACTAAAAATATAAAAATTAGCCAGGCACGGTGGCGGGCACCTGTAATCCCAGCCACTTGGGAGGCTGAGGCATGAGCATCACTTGAACCCGGGAGGCAGAGGTTGCAGTGAGCCAAGATCATGCCATTGCACTCCAGCCTGGGTGACATGAGCGAACTATCTAAATAAAAAAAAAAATAGAATCAGTCCTGTCAAATCCTGCCACCATTGTATCAATTATATGTATGGAATATTCTAAACTCTGTGTTGTCATTTAACAATGTTCTGCATCTTCACCAGGAGTAGATTCCATCTCAAGAAATCCACTTTCTTTGCTCATCCGAAGAAGCAACTCATCTACTCTAAGTTTGATCATGATTGTGGTAACTCAGTCCCATCTCCAAGCTCCACTTCTCATTCTAGTTCTCTGCTATTTTCCACCAGCCTGCAGTTCCTTCTCCACTGGAATTTTGGACCCTCCAAGCCATCCACAGGGTTAACCAAGCTCTCTTCCAACTCCTGTGAATGTTGTTGGCCTCCCATGAACTTGACAATGTTCTTAATGTCCTCTGGAATGGGGAATCTCTTCCAGAAGGCTTGTGCTGACTTTGCCCAGATCCATCAGAGGAATCTCTAGCTGTGGCAATCCAAAGCTTTACTATTATTATATATATGATTTATGTTTTCTTAATCTTAGATATTTATTGTATTTTTTTTATTTTTATTTTTATTTATTCATTTTTTTGAGACGGAGTCTTGCTTAGCTGTTTCAGGCTGGAGTGCAGTGGCTGAACTAGGTCACTGCAAGCTCCTTCCTGGGTTCAAGCGATTCTCCTGCCTCAGCCTCCCAAGTAGCTGGGACTACAGGCGCCCCACCACCATGCCCTGCACACTTTATTTTAAAGAGATGGGTTTCACCATTTTAGCCAGGATGGTCTCACCCTTGACGTGATCCACCCACCTCGCTCCCAAAGTGCTGGGATTACAGGCCAGCCACTGCGCCAGCCTATTTTGTTTCTTTTGAGACAGTCTTGCTCTGTCACCCAGGCTGGAGTCCAGTGGCTATCTCTGCTCACGCAACCTCTGCCTCCCGGGTTCAAACAGTTCTCCTGCCCCAACCTCCCAAGTAGCTGGGATTACAGGCATGCAATTACGACGCCTGGCTATTTTTTTTTTTTTTTTTTTTTTTTTTTGTATTTTTAGTAGAGACGGGGTTTTTCCATGTTGGCCAGGCTGATCTCAAACTCCTGACCTCAGTGATCTGCCCCCTGCCTCAGCCTCCCAGCCTCCCAAAGTGCTGGGATTACAGGTGTAGGGACACCACGCCTGGCCTGATACATTATTTTAAACTAAATAACCAGCTTCTATTTGAATATTTATCTATACAAAGACGTATAGTTTTCTGTGCTAGTTTGGCTTTTTTTTTTATTAGTTTGTTTGTTTGTTTTATTTTGCTTTTCTGGGGCAATTGTCTGGCTCTGTCGCCTACAGGCTGGAGGCAGTCAATGATCGGTGGCACACTGCGACCTTCAACCTCCTGAGCTCAAGAGACTGTCTCAAAAAAAAAGAGATAATAACAGGTTTGCCACACTTCCTTCAGCCTCCTGGAGCAGCTGGGACTACAAGTGCATGACACCATGCCCAGCTACTTTTGCATTTTTGCAGAGATGTCTTTCACCTGTTACCCAGGCTGGTCTTGAACTTATGGGCTCAAATGATCCACCTGCCTTGCCTCCCAGAGTGCTGGGATTATAGGCATGAGCCACACTGCCTGCCTGCTAGCTTGGCTTTTCACTAAAAGGTGCAGCATGCACCTCACACAATGCACATTAAGTAGAATTTGCAAATACAAATGTGGCCAGGCGCGGTGGCTCACGCCTATAACCCCAGCACTTTGGGAGGCTGAGGCGGGTGGATCATGAGGTCGGGAGTTTGAGACCAGCCTGGCCAACGTGGTGAAACCCTGTCCCTACTAAAAATACAAAATTTAGCCAGGCATGGTACTTCACCTGTAATCCCAACTACTCAGGAGGCTGAGGGGTAGGAGAATCAAGCCTAACCTGGGAGGCAGAGGTTGCAGTGAGCCAAGGTTGCGCCACTGCATTCCAGCCTGGGTGACAGAGTGAGACACCATCTCTGCACACACACACACACACACACACACACAAACACAAATGTACTCATTGGCTTCAACCCCAACCACCATCCACTTCTCTGTCTCTTGTTTTTTCTTTTTTTCTCCAGATTTTACGATAAAACACACGTGAACGTAAGATTTGCTATCTTACTCCATTTTAAGTGTACCTCTCGGTGGTATGATTTTCCTCTAATTCAGCCTTCAGGTCCCTCCTGACAGTGGCTGCAAACCGCCTGACAGGGCTCCAGGAAGGCATGGTGTTTGCAGGCTCACAGGAGGCTGCCTTTTTTTTTTTTTTTTTTTTTTTTTGAGATGGATTCTCACTCTGTCGCCCAGGCTGGAGGCAGGAAGGATCTCAGTTTCACTGCAAGCTCGTTCTGCTGGAGCATTTCGCCTCAGCCTTCCTGAGAAGCCGGGATTGCAGTACATGCTACCATACCAATGTTAATTTTTGTACTTTTTAGTAGAAATGGGGTTTCATTGTAAGTAAAGCAGTGGACTGGTCTCAAAACCTGACTCAGGTGATCTTTGTCTCATTTGCCTCCAAAGTGCTGGGATTACAGGCATGAGCCAATGTGCCCGGCCATAGGAGGCTTCCAGGCTGGGGATGTGCCTTAATGCCTACAGGACCAGGTGTCCTCTCCCAGGAAATCCTAGAGCCCCACTGGAAGCCTTGTGGCTCTGCAGTGACCTGTGTCCTTACCAAGACAGCCACTTCTCTAG